AATTGCAGTTCAAAAGCATCCGAGTAACAAAGGTTAAGAACCACTGAGTTAGGCGGATATATAGAGAGAGGATTGTGTTTTATATAATGATATTATTGGCTGCTGTGTTGGTCCTTAAGGCAGAATTGCTTCTGAGACAGGAAAAATGTTCAGAACGGAATTTACAAAACACAGCACCCTATTGATTGAAATAATATCCCTTAAAATTTTTGACTATCCTTTAAAAATTCATTATGCGTAAGTATTGGTCTGAATGATAGTTTTTGTTTCCTTCAGGAAAACAGAGAGTCTTGTGAACGTTCATGTGAATGTGGTTGGGCAACTGTGTCAGAAAGAATTCTTGTTTATCTTATTTGAATCCCCTTATTTCCCTCTCCCATGTATAAAGTGTCATTCACCCACTAACTAGATAATCAGAAAGTTCTTGAAATTCAAATATTTTACAGTGCTACATAAACTAAAAAGTACTGTATGTGGAATTCCACAGAAGAGAAAAATGGGCATATTCAAGTGTCCATTCATTTGCAGCAATTCCATAATGCAAGGCCACTTGGAACCTGTGTGCAAACTCTTCTAGGCAAAAAAGATGATGTTGAAAATTCTTAAATAATTGTAACGAAGATGCAAAACACCAAGTACAATAGTCTGCACACACAGTGAAGAGGACTTTGCACAAGGCGCAATGCTTTCCCTTCAGATCCTGCCACACATGTGCAATGTGATAATATTAAACTACCTGACAAGAATGTTGTAAGGTTAGCTGAGCAGTTTCACACTGAATACTTGGAAAACCAAGTAGTGAGTGTTGTTATTAAAATACAACCCTGAAACATTCATTTTCCATCAGTCACATGCTCATAAATGCAGGTGACCCTATAAACTACTACTTCTCATTTAATTTTAAATGAAGGCTTCCAGTACTACACGTGCCTGGGGAATTTCTCTGTATTGAACACAGGCATAACAAGCTAACATTCAATAAGCAGCCTTGCCTCCTATACCAGCAGCAACTCGCATTGCACAGAGCCAGCAGACTGACAGGAGTGTAAAAGAATCTAAGAGCAGACGTGCATGCAAAAACTAATAATTAAATCCTCAGAACAACAAGAAAACCACCTTTGAACATAGAAACAGTGCTTTAAGAAGGGGCCACTAAATCTAACAAATGAAGCAGGAAAGCAATTCATAGAGTGCTGTGAAACCAACAATCTGTTTATTGCAAATAAACAAGCAACCAAACAGATAGCTGTACATGTGAAGATCACCATACGGCCAATATCTCTCAGTTGTCTAGAGAGGTGGGGTAAAAATCAAATAGATAGATAGATAGATAGATAGATAGATAGATAGATAGATAGATAGATAGATAGATAGATATAGATAGATAGATAGATAGATAGATAGATAGATAGATAGATAGATAGATATAGAAATAAAAAAGACTGCAATTGGAAGCAGGAGATAGGGAAGCTGTATTCTCTCACCCAGAACAATACCAGGAGTGGATTGTGACACTGATCATGAACTGCTAATATCCAACATTAGATTAAAGCTGAAAAAGAACATTAAAAGAATTGTAGTGCCAAAATATAATTTAAATAACATTCCTGATGAATTTAAATTCCACATAAGGAACAGATTTGCATTACTAAACTCCATTAGTCACAAACGAGAATACCTATAGATTGGAACCAGATATATCATTAGGGAACAATGGAAAAAGATTTCCTGACATAAAAAGAAAAAGAACCCTAGATGGGTGATGAAAGAAATACTTTTGTAAAGGGTGGATGAGAAGTAAAAGGAAAAGCTGACAGAAATAGGGTCAGAACCCTGAATGCAATTTTTCTGATACATAGAAACAGTCTAGTAGAGATAAAGAGAACTATTGTAATAACTAGTGCAAAGAAACAGAAGAGAACAAAAAGGGAAAAACAAAAGATATCTTCCAGAAGATCCTAGAAATAAAAGGAAAATTTAAGTCTAATTAGGAATGTTGACTGTCCAATAGAGAAGCACATTATCTGACCAAGAGAAAATAAAGAGAAAGTGGAAGCAGCATACTGAAGACCTATACAGAAGGGGGAAAGTATGACAAATTCCTTTGAAAAGGAAGCCTATGATGAAGAACCCATAGTTAAAGAAAATGAAGTGAAAGCTGTGCTGAAAGCATTAGGAAGAAATAAATCACCAGAGGTAGATGTAATAGCGATAGAGCTATTTCAAGGCACAAATGATTCTGTTAAAATCCTAACAAGAATACACCAACAAATATGGAATACAAAAGAATGGCCCATAGACTAGCAACATTCAATATACATCCGAACCCCAAAGAAAAGAAAAGGGATGCCAAAGAGTGCAGTAACTATAAGACAATTGCTTTACTTTCCCATACAAGCAAAGTGATGACCAAGGTGTTATACTCTTTTAATAAGTATAGCTCAGAGTGGAAAAGGAAGCTGGGATAATTTGCATGGACTTGTCCCTGTGCAAAGGTATTCACATTCAGAGATATTCTCTGAAAAAAACTCTCTTTGGGAAGGGTCCATGTAAATCTATGCAAAACATACCAGCTTCCTTTTCTATCCTGAGAGAGAGGGGCTAGTTTTGCTTCCAGTTACTTCAGATACTAAAAATGGCTCTTCAGCATGATTAATGACCCACTATGGTTCCGAAGCTTGGACTGTTGGTTAGGGAATTGTAGAAGCACCCAGCATCAGTCGTAATGATTACTTCTGAAACTAATTCATCAGGAGAGGTATGGGGGTGCTTTTCAAATAGGAAATATGTGAACATACGTGATCTGTGCATAGGACTTAGCAATAATGCTACCTGACTATTGAAAATGTTATTAACATTCTATTTAAAATGTTACTTTTAACATTAGGTGAAAATGAAGATAATAAATTCAAATTATTCTTAAGCTTTTTGGAAATGTGATGAAGAAATTGGCACATATTATATGTGGTGGGAGTGTAAACGGATTCAGGAAATTTGGAAACTGATTTTTAAGGAAATATGTGATATATTTGGAAAAGATATTGAATTCAATTCTAAAATTGCTTTGTTGTCAATTTTTGATAAGATAGAACTTGATTATTGTTCGAAGGAATTGATTTCCAATTTTATGACAAGTGCTAGAATATTAATAGCTAGATCTTGGAAAGGCAAAAATGACATTAAATTAGAAGATTGGTATAATGAAGTATGGGACATTGCATTAAGTGATAAATTAACTACTGAACTTAAGATGAAAAGAGGGGAAATATGTTCAAATATTTTTATGCTATTTGGGATAAATTTCTTGAATTTGTACTAGTGAAAGGAAAAGGGAAAGGCTCTAAACAACAATCAATACAATTTTGGAAAGGAAGATCGTATTAAAAGTATTGTTCTAAGGGGCCCCATGGGTATGAGGTGCATGGTAGTTTAGATTGTGTAGTAAGTTTTCTGCACTTTTGTATTTGTTTTTCTTCTGAAAAAATAAATAAATATTTTTTTAAATGTTACTTTTTTAATATTACATTTATTCATGACATATGGACAGTATTACAAAAAGTAACACATTTAATGTTAACATTTTAAATGAGCATATTATTTCCAAGCTGTGGTTCGAATATGAATCAGCTTCAATCCAGAAAGAATGAAGTTCCAACGGTGACATCAAAAGGAGAGATATAGACTTAAAAGACTTAATCACCCTTGCTGTTATATTTTGCATTGCCCTGTCCCCACTAATCCTGCATAGAATGGGTCTGCTTCTGACCTAGCTACTCAAGCCGTTTGTGGATGGAAATGGATTCCTACACAGGGGGCTTCCTTTGGAACCTATTCGGATCCTTGCATTTGGTATTTAGATCAGGCAGACTGCAAACTTTGACGGGATACCTCCCTGCACTCTGCATCCAAGGCATTGGTTGCGCTACCAGCATTGATAGGCTTAGCATTCATTCTCATTTTGCTCTGAAGAGTGGGTCAAAACCATAAAAGCTGTGTCCCGCAGTGTGCATATAAACTTGCATATATGAATGTCTCTGGATTTGAGCCAAAAACTATTTTCACTTTTGCTGAAATTGCTGGAAGAAAATCTTGAGCCGGTAGAAGAAAATTTCATTCCTAATTACGTCATTCGGTTAACAATTCATCATATGAAATGGATTTTCTTTTATCTTTCACAGGCTAACACCTGAAGGGCAATTACCATGTTACAGTTTTTAAATCCTCAAGGAGCTGGAGATAAAGACCTACTGTAGTCTTTGACTGGATCCAAGCATGTCCAAAAAACGGAGCCATCCTACAAACACATGTTTTACAACTGGAAAGAATAAACTAATACTGTACAGAGACCTGGCTAAACGTTTCCAGTCTAAACAAATTGGTGTATGGAGTAAAAGAAAAATGGCAGCAACCCTAAGGCTGCAATCCTGTGCTCATTGTCTTGTGGATAAGATTCACTGATTCTGTGGCACTTGCGTCTCTGTGAGTATGCAAAGGATTATCCTTTGAGGGTGCAATTCAGTTTTGCTTCGGCTTGATTTGCAGTCTCTTTTACAGCTACATTTGGTTTCCATGTTAAGACCCCAGATTATTTGGTTGCCAGGGTCCCCTGCTGGCCTTGCACAGCAATAAGCTAGTGGTTAGTCACAGTTTCTCCTTGCCTAAAATCATTTTGCTACAGAATCTCCTGCTTGAGAGTTTGCACCAAGAAAAAAAGCCTAGCAAGCTTTAGAAAAGGAGGATGACATGAGAGGGTGGAGGCTGGAGAGAGACTTTATAAGCACGATAGGCTGTGAGTGTCTGATTTTTGTTGTGTGTCTTCCAGAGGCAGATCACGTTGCCCAGCTACAGTCTCTTTGAACCCCACAGATCAGGAAAAAGCAAATCGGGTTTTCTCATCAGAGACTGTGCTTGGTATACCCGTCTGCCTGGCAGCGAAAAAGCCTCTTCAATTCCCTGGGTTTGCCTTTGCTTGAGAACTTTCTCAATTTCCACGGAGGGACATGGAAGAGCGCTATGTCTCAAAACTTCACCCGACATGGGATTATGGAGCGGGTGTATTTCTTCTGATTATAGGTGAGTTCTACTTCTGTGGTTCTGTGGGCTGCATAGTGAGAAGACCTACACTTACATCTCCTTCAAGGCTTACAGGACCTTCAAGGCTCCTTCAACTATTTTGTGATGCAAATTGTGTTGCTTATTGGTTGTTTAAGTGTTGCGTCCTTTATTTATTAATGCCACTTTGCTTTCAGAGGGTTTTGAAGGAGCGTTTGAGTGTGATTACTTAATAATCTATGTTACTTAATAGCAGTAGTCTATGTTACTTAATAGCAGTAGTTTACTTTTCAGTGGGCCAGCCAGCTAGCAGCTGAAGAGCTTCTAAGTCACAGACTCAATTAAGCTGAATGATTTAACGCATTACAGAAAGCTGTGCACATGATGTAGAAGGCAGTCTAAATCAGTTTAATTTTGTAAATGAACAGAAGCATGCATTATTTTGAGCAGTTTGTAAAGGGTGGGCACACACATGCAGAAGTGCTTCAGGCTGGTCAGAACTGAGAGATACAAATATTTGTGACAAGTACAAAATATAGGGAAGCACTACACAGAAGAGATAATCATTTTAGTTTTGATTCACATAGTTAATGCACCTTATAGAGCAATCAACCATTTCCCCTCATGGACATGTGCCAGAGAAAGCATTCTGCCCTATTTTATGTGATTCACTTTGCTTTTGTCAGGTGTACAAATGTTGCAGTGGTGTCATATGCGTGGCTTCTCAATATATACTTAAATTAACAGTTTTAAATTGAAATGATTAATGTTGACATATCCAGGATGATCTACATTAAAGTCAAGGTATCTGAGGACTACTTAACAAATCCTATTGTTAATTGCTAGAGAAAAGTGGAAAACTGTGAATCATTGAATCTGTGGATGAGAAAAAAAAGTACAGTACTGGCATTTCCTGTTTTTAAAGCTACACAACAGGCATTAACTCTCACACACCAGAACAGGACATTTCAGTTCCCAAGAATCTCTTTTTTTTTTTTTGCCATACCCACACAGAACTAGGCTGACCATATAGCCATTTTTCAGCATTGCCACCTGCATAAATGTGACACCAGTCACCAGTTATCTAAAGGTGTTCTGTTATGCTTTTTTCATCAACAAAATATTACCTAACAAATCAAAATCAAATGAAACAGCTAGGACGAAAGATGTCCTAACAATTCTTTTTTTGGGGGGGGCGGGGGGGACGGGGCATGGATTGGAACACTTTTCTGTACCAGCCAACGTAACATATTGGAACATGTACAGTACTTTTTTGGTGAATGATGGTGCAGCAAAGTGATATATTCTGGTTGTCAATAGCTTGACCTCTTTCAGTTCCCTCTTAGCAGGAGCTGAGTGAGGAGGAACTATAATGGTTGTTGTGGGTTTTTTGGGCTCTTTGGCCGTGTTCTGAAGGTTGTTCTTCCTAACGTTTCACCAGTCTCAGTGGCCGGCATCTTTGGAGGACAGTGCTGTCCTCCGACGATGCCGGCCACAGAGACTGGCGAAACGTTAGGAAGAACAACCTTCAGAACACGGCCAAAGAGCCCAAAAAACCCACAACAGCCATTAGATCCTGGCAATGAAAGCCTTCGCGAATACACAGGAACTGTAATGTTGTCCTTTGGTGTCAGAAAATACAAAATATTTATTTCGACTTACCATATAGATTTCTTGTGGAGTTCTAAAATAACTTAGTTTTTCTAAAAATCCTGATGAACAAGGATATAGCTGATAGGCAATATCTCAATTTAACATTGGAGTCAGATGCATTTACCGGGCACGATGTAGATCAAGAAGATCTATCTATTTATATTGCCCTACTCAAATTAATAGCAGGTTTAACTTGTTTGATTTACTCATATACATGCTCAACAACATATGCACACATACACAAACACACACAAAGCCACAGATTTTTTTTCAAGAGAGGTGTAAAGTTTGGGTTCAAATTATAATAAATATATAAATTAATATAATAAATTTAAAATAAATAACTAAATTCAATTTTATAGGGGAGGAAATGTGAAATACAGTACTCATAAATACATGCACATATATACATGTTAATACATATATAAAAGACAAAAGGGGAATAAATTATGGACCTGGATCCATATCATCTTTTAGCTGGGTGGGGCTTGGAGATACTGTTTTCAGTTGTTTGAGTATTTCCTAGAAAAAGACATTCCAAAGGTGTTTCTAGGGTGTTCCTGTTCAGTCTTTGGGGTCCTTCAGAACTATTTTGTCCACCATGATATTCAACATTTAGATGAAATTGCTTGGGAGAATTCTTTTGTGCAAAATAGTCAGGTACTTGGCCTGGCCAAGCACAAAAGCCATGAATTCTTGAGCTGTGACCATTAAAGGGGCCTTGGTGAGAATGCCAAAGTCCCTCGCAACCATTAACCTGAGAGACCCCAACAAATACTTCTAAGAGATAATCTCCATACATTGTATCTCACGTCAAAATCTACTAGTGTCACATGGCAATGCATAGTTTGCACCAACAGAAAAACAGGGAGAGACTACTTCACTGAGGATGTCACAACTGGATGTTATTCTCTTTCTTTGAAGTTCTGAGAGGTGGTCATTCACAGGTATATCAAAGATAATATTTTCCATGCAGAAATAGACTCATAATTTTGCAGCCTGTTCTGTATTGTATTTCTCATATATTTGTGTCCCATTTTGTTTTGCTTTGCTTTGTGTTATATCCAGTGGTTTCTGGCACAATGGTCCATTTTCTTCTTTACACAACACCCTTCCTGCTGCCTTTCAAACATCCTGTAGCAAATAGACTGGAATCTTCAAGAACTGATGGTTTGCCTCTGTAGATAACAAGTAAATGATACATCTCTTGCAGTTTTTGCTCAAGGTATTTGAGCATGTAGTGTTTATAAAATTCCTGATTCTCTTGGAGGAGAAGACTGATTATATGGAACCATTTTAATCTGATTTTAGGCCTGGTTTTATTACAAAGGCTTTCACTGCCGTCTAGAAGAGGAAGACAAGAGTCTATGAAGTCTCCTTCTCCTAGACCTCTCAGTAGTTGTCTCCTTCTTAATTAGGCTGTGCTGAAAATTGATGGTTCCTCTCCTCTTTAGAGGCCAGTTCTAGAAAATGATGGTGGGGACTACTGTCCCGTCTCCATTGCATTTGTACTGTAGGTTCCCCAAGGGTTCTGCCACTGGAAGAGATAATTTGGAGGTCTGGTGTGAAATGCCATGATTATGAAAAATGACACCCAGCTCCATCTCTTTGCATTCAGTTCAGATGAGGCAATAGGAGTGCAGAGCTGCTGTCTAGAATCGGAAATGTCCTGGATGAGATACAATTATTTAAACACAATCCTGCCAGTATAGATGTAGGTTGGTGACTCAGAGAGATGGTGTTGCGTTTGTCCTGGATGGAGTTGCACTTGACTTAAGGCAACCATTGGGAACCTCCAGTCCACAGGTTAGATACTTCTCCAGGAGCTGCCCATCTAACCTGCACCTCTCCTTCCCCTGGTTATGTCTTCTCTTTGGGCAAGAAAAAGCCATTCTTTGGTACCATCAGCTGATCAGAGACAGAGATGTCTTGTTAAATACTGAAAAAATGTTCACAGTTTGAGGGCTCAGCAGAGAAAATATGGAAGCTTTGTATTCATCCCCCGGGGTGGACAAATACAAAGCTAGCACAGGTATCCCGGCGGTCCTTCCCCGCCCCTCAGAACCAGCTATATCCACTTACCAGGTTCCTCAGCATGCGCGCACCTGGCGGCAGCAACATCACACCCATCATGGATGTAGTTCCACCGGCACTTCCCCGCCTCTCCCCTCAGATGACCTCTCAGCAGCAGAGTGGAGAGACTCATCTTCCCACCTTCCTGCTGGAGTGGTCCGCTGCAGGGAGAGGCAAGGCAGTACCAGCAGGACTGCACCTGCCATTGGCACAATGTAGCTGCTGCCAGGCTTGCATGCACGCCGAGGAGCCCAGTAAGTGGACCAGGCTGGTTCTGGGGAGCGGGGAAAGACTATTGATCACCTGTTCTGGTGGGCTTTGTATTTGTCTACCCGGTGAGACAAATACAAAGCTTCCATATCTACCACCAGGTCCTTCCAGGACTTGCTCCTTTGGGTGGCCACTTCAAAGGGAGGCCAGGAAGTCAGCCATAAGGGGGCTGGACCTTCTTCACAGTGGCACCTACACTTTGGAACCAGCTGCTTGTGGAGCTGCACCTGACTCCTTCCCTCCTCACATTCAAAAGCCTTCTGAAGACTTTTCTTTATACAGAAGCCTTTCTGTGCCATATTACCTGACCTTATGCCTCCTGTCCTGCTCCTGTATTTAGAAAATACATTTAGTAAATGGTATTTGTTCTTATTTTATTCAGGACATTACTGTAGTGTTAATGCTATTCTAGATGTTTTATTATTATATTCTTAAGCACTCAGAATAGTGCTATACACTCAGAGGTAGTATACAAATGGGTCAATATGACCACTCTAGGCAGCTTACAAAATCATAATATAATAGTACAATAATAATAATAATAATAATAATTTAACAGAGTGTTGATTGAAGCTATAGACTTTTCTTTATAGTAGGTGGCACATAGGAAGGAAGCTGCTGAATCATTTAGTTCTCCTTATTTTTGAGTAGCCATGCAAGTGCTTATGGTGCTTTGTTTTTGGAATCCTATGTCTGAATTCTGTTGAATAATTCAGTCCTGCTTACTTTTGAGTAGATGGAGAGGTCGGTTTGAGTAATCTCCAAGCTGGCATAAAATGAATAAGAATAAAATTTCTATCTTTGGATTGGCCATAGTGGAATGTCACCCCCAAGGCTACAATATTATGTGCCATCAGACTACTTCCAACCTGTGACAACCCTATGAAATAATGATCTCCAAAAGGTCCATTAACAGCCCTGCTCAGATCTTGCAAGCTAAAGGCCATGATTTCTTTTATTAAGCTGATGCATCTCATCTGTCTTCCCCTTTGCATACTGCCTTTCATGTTTTCTAGTATTATTATCTTTTCCCATGATATATGTAAACTACAATACCCTATCTGACCATATACTATCTGACTAAGATGAAATAAAGAAAAGTTGGAAACAATATACAGAAGAGATAAAAGGATGACATATTTCTTTGAAGAGGAATCTTGTGACAAAGAATCTGCAGCTTTAGAAAGTAAAGTGAAAGATGCTCTGAAAGCACGTGGAAGAAATAAATCAGCAGGGGTAGATGGAATATCAATAGAACTATTTCAAGCCACTGAGCAAATATGCCAAAATAAGAAAAAGTATATGTGAACAAATATGGAAAACAAATCAATGGTCCATAGTCTGGAAATGTTCAATATACATTCCAGTCCCCCAAAAAGGAGATGCCAAGGAGTACAGTAGCATTACAACCATTGCACTAATTTCTCATGAAAGCAAAGTGATGCTCAAGGTGTTGCAACAAAGATTTATAGCCTATGCATAACAAAAATGTCTGATTGTTCTAGCTGGATTTCACTGCAGATCATATTGCAAATATAGGCTAGCTACTGGACAAGGAACTGTTGGAGTTTTTTATAACCTTGCATGCTGCCTGGGTGGGGAGTGTTTGGGGAATGTTATGTGTGTGCATGTGTCTGGTCTCTGGGTGTCTGTGAATTTCGTTGTATGGTATACTGTGTATATACTTACAATGACAATA